GAGGGGGAGGGGGAGGGAGAAACTACCTACATCAGGAATCAATAAGTGGCATAATTACAGGTCCTACAGAGGCCTTTCCCTGGTGGTCCCACCTCCATCCCCAAGATAACTGGGACTGTCAGCCACTTCTGAGACGTAGACTAGCCGGGCCTCATGGTCTAGTCCCTTGCAATTTCAAGTGAGGGACTCCCTGGCTCTCCCTGACTCGGTTCATCGTTCTGCTGCACTGCTCCAGACAGCCTGGGGGTGGCATTCCAGCAGTGGCCTCCAAGTTGGGGGTCTGCTGACTGCTGCACCAGCAGTCTCCTGTGGGCATGGAGACCCAGGCCCATCCAGGTCCCCCATAACCTTTCTCAGCACTGGTTTCCTCTGTCACTGTGGTCGTAGTCAGGTGGAAGAGGCTGACCCTGAGGGACACAGGAACACTGCTGTTTTCCAAAAGATGTCTTGTTGAGGGAGGTCTGGGAACTTCCTGGAAGTGACACTTAAGCCAAGCAGGCAGAAGCAGGGAGATGGGCAAGGGCATGGTATGCCACCTGACATGGCAGGAGGAGGGGCGCAGCTTAGTTTGAACTTTGTCCTGAGGGCCAGGGGAGCCTGTGGGCTTTCAGCAGGGCCTGGCCTAGCTGGCTCCACGACTAAGGAATGCTACTCTTTGGGAAAAGGGGACGAGTGAGTGAAGTGGGAGAGACTGGGGCAGGGAGCCCAGGGAGGGGGCTGGGCAGGGGCACGGGGTCTGAACCAGGCTCCAGAGCCAATAATGCCAACCTCTGCCCTCCCCTCCCACCACTACTCTCACCTGCAGGGAAGAGGTAAAAGGCTTCTGTGGGGACAGCAGGACCCATCTCCTCAGACATCCTGTCCATAGGGTGGGAGAGGATGGTGAGCCTGGGGCTGAGGCTCCTGCAAGCTGCCCTCTTCAGGTGGTCCTGACTAGAGCCAAGCAGCAAGGTAGGCGACCCCTTCTCCCCTCCTCCCAGGGCACAGATGTAGGCTTTGTCCTTTAGCACCCAGACTGTGGGCAGGCAAAGCCAAGGGATGGGGAGCTGGCAGGGGGGCTACAGGGCTGCATTGTTCAGGCTAGACCCTGTCGGACCTGGGAGTCTGGGACAGAGATTCTAAGTCACTGCTGGTGGAGCAAGAGCACCAGAGGTCCTTTGCTCAGTCTTGTACCCAGAAGGCACTAGCACTAGCATTTTTCAGAGGGGCCCAGAAGGACATCCAAGGGCTTGGGGCAGGAGCTCCATCGTCCCCACCTGCCCTTCTGCCTGGGAGGTATTACTTCCTGCCCCCCTGACTTGCAGCCCTGAGCTATATTCATGGGAGGCCTGAGGCCAGGCTCCATGTTGCTCCCGAGCTCGAAACCTACCCACGGCTCCTAGGATGAAGCCCAGACCACTTAGTGTGGTCACTCCAGCCCCATGCAGCCCATCTCACTCCACAGCGTCCTGTGGGAGCAACTCCAGCTATGGAAGCTGCCTCGCTCTTCCTCTGCCGGAGACTCCCCTCCTTCAGAATTCCTCCCTTTATCCTACCCCCACACCAGGCCATATGGGTCCCAGATGTCTGACCAGTGGGTTTGTGTCTACACTATGTGGGTGCTGACTTTAGTGAAAAAAAATTGGAAATTCATTTACAAGCCTTGTGACTCCTTTTATCAGACATAACTAATTGTGGGTGGAGATCTGGGGAAGCCATCAGCCTGTTCTGGGCCCTGTACCTGTTCTTTGCTCTCTCTATGCCAGCTAGCCACAGTGGTTGCCTTTCAGTGGGCATACATTCCTTTCAGCCTCAGGGCCCTTGCATCTGCTGTTCCTGTGTCTGAAATTTTCCTACATCCCTCCTATACATAGATAACTGTTCATCCATTTCCCTAGAAAAACCTTCTCTGAGCTCCCTGTTTAGGTCAAATGCTCCTTAGGACATGCCCTCTCATTGTGTCTTTTCCCACGAGGATCTGTCAAAACTGTAACTCATGTGTGTTTACTATGTCCATTTCTCTCCCCCTCGCCCGTGAGCTCTGCAAAGGCAGGAACCCTGTCTGGTTTGGTCAATCATTCTATTCTCTGCCCCCCAGCACAGTGCCTGGGGTCCAGTAAGTGCTCAGCAAACTTTTGGTGAGTGAATGGATGGGTGAATGGCTCAGTTCTTGGCTGAGCATGTCACTGATTCCTCTGCGAGTGACTCGTAGAGAAATTCCAAGGAACTGAGGACTGACTTCCACGTGGTATGTGTTTACCTAGTGCCATGTCTTTATGAAGAATCTGGTCCCTCCCTAGCCAGTTTGGCTCAGTGGTTAGAGTGTGGGCACCTGACTGAAGCGGTCCTGGGTTTGATTCCAGCCAAGGGCATGTACTTCAGTTGCAGGCTCAATCCCCTGTCCCCTGTCGGAGCTTGCAGGAAGCAACCAATTGCTGTGTCTCTATCACATCAACGTTTCTCTCTCTCCCTTCCGCTCTCTCTGAAAAGCAATGGAAAAAATATCCTTGGGTGAGGATAAAAAAAGAAAAAAGAATCTGGTCCCTCTTCACCCCCTTCTCTATTGCCAAGTCACACACTGCCCCTCAGCAATGCTACACCCTGTAACGCCAGCTTTCATCTTCCTGCCTCCAGCCTTAGGCTTCACTGTGCCGGCAGGTGCAGCCACACCTGCTGGTGCTGCGGTTGAAGTCACTGTAGCTACTCCTTCGGGAGGCTAGGAAGTCACCAGGGGCTCGAGGAGAGCAAGAAGCCTGCACCTGGTGGCCCCTGCGGTAGAAATCAGCAGCTCCTACCTGCTGGGCAAGGCACAAGCACGGGCTCTGGTCCTTCTACAACGCTGTTGCAGGGCTTCCCGAGCTTACAGGAGGGAGGTCACTGGCCGAGTCACAGAGCTGAGAAGCAGCGGTGACAGGAGAGGAACCCAACTCCGTCGCTCCAGGACCCAGGGCTGTCTAGCAAGCCAGTTCGCCCTACTTATGTTTTGTAGCGACAGTAGCTTCCCCGTAGGTGAGTGAGGACAAGTCGGGAGACTATTCCCATTTGCCACAGTAGGAAGCTGAAGCTCAGCGGGGCCCACGGGGACAGGGGGCGGGCAGCCCAGGGAACAGACCCCGGAGCGCAGAGCAGGGTTCCCAACCCCCTCCACTAGCGCCTGCGCACTGCGCTCCGTTCCCCTCTCAGTCCCGCCCCCACCGCCTGGGTTTTCAAATTTGAAACCTGCTCCTTTTCCCGCCCGAATGTGTTGACCAGCAGCGAGAGAGGGCGGGGTCGCGCGCAGCCAATCGTGCCTCAGAAGCTCCCTGGCCCCGCCCCGAAGGTGACGAACCCGAGCCGCCCGAGACGACCCACCAATGGGCGCAGGCACTCACCCGCCCTCCTCCGCGGCGCCCACGTGCAGTTGCTGGGCAGGGGGCTCCGGCGACTACAGGCCCCTAGAGGGCTGTTCTCTGTGCCCGGCCCTCGCCACCAGCACGTGCTGGAAACTGAGGCCCAGAGACGCCAAGTAGCCAGCGCTGGGTCGCTGAGCAAAGCGGGCAAGAGACCTCACCTCACAGCCTGGGGGTTTGCCCAAGGGCTGGGCCTGGAGGTGGCGCCCCTATGGGCACCTCAGGAGTCCAAGGGGGCGGACAACTCGCCGGGCGTGGGCTAGAGACTCGGGCGCGTTCCAGAGGGGCGGGGCCAATGGCTGGGCCGTCCCGCGGGCGGGGCGTCCAGGGGGCGGGCCGGGCGCCTGTGTTTGTTGCACCGTGTCAGTTACATTGTAACAAAAGTGGTCCTGCTGCTCCTCCGGCCTGCACCTCAGGCCCGCCCGCCGCCAGCTGTCGCCGACATGGAATCCGTGGCCAGCAACATCCAGGTCCTGCTGCAGGCGGCCGAGTTCCTGGAACGCCGCGAGAGAGGTGAGGCAGGACCCTTGGCCGGACTCCAGGCGGCGACCTTGCTGACACGGGCCTGGGCTGGACTTGGCTCCCAACTTGAAGGATGCATACACGGCTTTAAGGCAGTAGCCCCGGGGCTCCCCCATCTTCAACTGGAGAGGATTCCGCGGACGGTCGGGCTGGTGGGAGGTGTTGGGGACATGGCCCTGGCGCCAAAATCCTCTCCCTGACCGTGCAGTGCCAGGGACGCCCGCTGGGACCAGCTCCAGTCTAACGCGCACGGGGGCTCTCTCTGGCAGAGGCTGAGCACGGATACGCGTCCCTGTTCCCGCACCGAAGTCCGGGCCCCGCCCACAGAAAGAGGAAGGGATCCCTCCAAGCTCTTGGCGCGTTGGACAGTGGGCGGTGAGGAGGGCGAGGGGCGACGGGGAGGGGGGATGGGCGCTGTCCCTCTTCGGGCCCCTTCTCGGCCCACTCATTGTTGCTTGCATCTTCTGGGCCAGGTACCCTACTCTGGAGACATTCAGACCCCTCCTGCCATCTCCTCATCCCCCAAGCACACACCCTGTAGTCATTCAAAGACTATTTCTTGAGCACCCCTGACGTGAACAAGGCAGTTCTGGGTCTCGCTTCCACTCACACTCCTACCCTCCACATATCACATCACTTACTTTCCCCCACAGGCTTCCTCCTTTTCTCTCATCTCCACCCTTTCCACAAGCTGTTTCCTCCAGTTTGAGTGTCTCTCCCTCCACTACCTGCTTTGGGTAACCTGTGTTTCTGGCTCAGCTCAACTGTCACCTCTGTTTGGACTCCACAGCTACCCGCTCAGGCCTCTCTCAGCATTTGCCCCCTCTCCCCCCACCTCTCCATGAGTCTCTGCCTCCACCTGGCAATTAAGGTGCCCGAGGCCAGCACAAGGTCGCCATACTGAGCTAGTTTGGGGGCAGAGATCTGCAGTGGATTTTGAGCCCCTGGGAGCCTGGGACTAAGGGTGTGGGCAGCAACTGATGGACGCCCCCTCACCCCATCCTCCCTGGCATTGGCAGGTCTGTGCACAATGAGCTGGAGAAGCGCAGGTGAGTCCCAGCCATGCCCTGACAGCACTGGGTCCCAGAAACTGTCTCCCTCTGGCCTTCCCTCCCCTGTCAGCCCTCTGGCTAGCAAGGCTGGGCTGGCACTGCCCTCCAGACCCCTTCCCCTGCAGGAGGGCCCAGCTGAAGCGGTGCCTGGAGCAGCTGAAGCAGCAGATGCCCCTGGGTGCTGACTGTGCCCGATACACCACACTGAGCCTTCTGCGCCGGGCCAGGATGCACATCCAGGTAAGGCCCACCCCTGAGCCCTGGAGCCAGCTTACCAGGACATGTAGAGAGGTATAGGAGAGAAGGGCTGGGTGAAACTGGGGAGAGAGGCCCACTGTGCTTTTAGTTTCCAAATTTGTTAAATGAGAAGAAAAACAAAAAATAACTCAGGATTGTTCTGAGGCTTAAGCTTCAGCATTTGCCCAATAAATGTTCATTGTTGTTATTACAGATATTATTACTTCTATTTCAACTGTGAGGCCCTGAACCAGACACTTAACCTCTCTGGACTTCCTTCCCTCCTCTTATGGGAGGCATGACTGTTGAAGATAATGTAAGGGCCCTTAGACTGTAGAGGGCTGGTTCTTGCTCTTCCTCTCCCCCATCCAAGGCCTCCTGTTCTGGGCAATCTGTCCTGAAGCCACTTTGGGAGGCAGCTCCAGAGGCCAGGAAATGGAAAGGACTGGGAGGATGGTGGTCACCGTATTCCCAGGACCTTTTACTGCCCCCTGGTGGACATGAGTGAGGTGTGCTGACTCAAAGCCCCAGGCAGCCCTAGAGAGGGGATTAGGAGCGGCCATGGAAATAATAGAGGCCTTCCCTGTCCTGGTTCTTTTGACAGAGGAAGAAATGGAGACATAGCCAGGCTCATGAGAGGCAGACTCAGAACCCAGGCCCAGGTCCTCTGACTTGCATTCCTGCCTTCAAGAAATATTTGAGCACCTGCTCTGCCAGGCCATTCTAGGCACAGGGGGCTGTGACAGAGACAGATGGATATGCAAATAAATCACAGTGTGGGAACTGTTGTCCACACTGTCCCATAGGTGCCTGCATTCCCCTCATAATGGCTGAATAACAGGCCGCAGTTTCTCCCATGGGGCTTGCCTGGCCTGGGTCTTGGAGGGCTGGTATGCCCCTCAAGTGCTGACTGGCCTGTAGGCAGGAACCTGCAGATGGCTCCTTCACCCCTTTCCTGTACTCCCTGCTTCCTGTTTTGCTTCCACGAGGGTGTCCTCTGCCTTGCCTTGGGATGTTTTTTTGCAGCACATAGATCTGTCCAGGTCTCTCATGCTGAAAACCTTCCATGGCTCCTGATAGGACAGTCTCAGTCCTTACTTCCTGTGAACTCAAGGCCCTTCACAACTCAGGCTTTGCCACTGGCCTGCTTTTTAAATCTAATCTCTTTCCTCTTCCCCACCAAAAAGCCGAATTATTGGTGCTCTTCCAGGTCTCCCTCTGCCTGGGTGCGTCTCCTCCCCATCTTCCCCTAGGCAGCTGTCACTCATCCTTCTATACCCAGTCCCAATGTCCCTCCCTATGCTTCCCTTCTTATTGACTACAGGCTCCTGCCCACCAAGGGCTCTGATGGGAGCACTCTTGGTCTTCTGGTCCCTGGTACTCAGGGCTGGCAGAGCTCTAGTGGGGGTAAGGGGAGCAGATTAATGCTGAAAAAGCCTTAGGGTTCCTAGGAGGGTCTTGACTATGAGTTACAAACTGGTTGCCTTTGTTTAGTCTGTAGTTTTCTAAAAGTTTAAGTTAGTTGGCAGCACATAAGAGGACATTTGATATGAAAAATCTGATTTTCCAGCTCTCTTAAAGACATTAAGAGATCTGGCTGCCCTGGAGCTCTTTCCACGTGTCAGTGATTGGCTGAACGTGGAGGTGGCTGCCTCCTTCACTGGAGTTCACACTTGCCACCATGGCACAGTCCACTCCCCCCATCCCTGTTGCTTGATACCAGTACTCAGCACTCCTTCACATCACCTGACTAAACCCTGAAGGTCTTTGAGACTGTGCTGCCCTCCCTCCCCCAGCCAGCTAAACAGAACTTACAGGCCATTTACACGGGACAGGAGGGCCCAACTCCCTAGAGGATGTGGAGGCAACCCTTTGGAGCGGATTTAGTGAGCTCCTTTCCGGAGCAGGCAGTCACTAAGTGGCCATGGCCTGCTGCTGAGTTGTGTTAGAGTGAGGTCCGGCCCTCAGGCAGCTGACCACAGCCCTTTGTTCCCTTGGGATCTGCAGAAGCTGGAGGAGCAGGAGCAGCGGGCCCAGAGGCTAAAGGAGAAGCTGCGCAGCAAGCAGCAGAGCCTGCAGCAGCAGCTGGAGCAGCTCCGGGGGCCGGCAGGGGCAGGCGAGCGGGAGCGGCTGCGGGCAGACAGCCTGGACTCCTCAGGCCTCTCCTCTGAGCGATCCGACTCAGACCAAGGTGAGTGCCCTGAAGTGGAGGGGTGGGGTGGGCTAGTGGGCCAGTGTCCTGACTGGACCTGTCCCTGTGCAGAAGAGCTGGAGGTGGACGTGGAGAGCGTGGTGTTCGGGGGTGAGGCCGAGCTGCTACGGGGCTTCAGTGCAGGCCAGGAACACAGCTACTCACACAGCGGCGCCTGGTTATGACCCTCACCACCCCAGAGCGTGCCTCTGCCCTCAGACCATCCTCCGCTCCACTCTGCCAAGCAGGAGTCCTCCCCAAGCCTCAAGGGCTGCTCAGTCACCTCCTGTTGAAATGGACTAAAAGGACCTTGGTGTGGGAGCAGGTGCTCCCCCTGACCCACTGCTGCAGCCCCTCCTAGAGGAGGGGGCCTGGCTTCCCCTGAGCCCAGTAGGGCAGGCAGCTTGGGCCTGGGCCACCCTTCCAGGCATTTTTTTTTTGTAGCACTTGGCTCTGTTGTCCCATGGGGACAGTAAGCCTCTTGGGCCCACCCCCATGTTCCTTCCTAGACAAAGGCCCTCTGGCCTTTGCCCCATAGATACTGTACAGTGTTTTCATTAAAAGGCTTTCTTAACTTCCTGTCCTTGCTCTTGCCTGATGAAAATGGGGAAACTCCTAGCCACAAAATGGGAAAGAGGAAATGAGATCAGTAGTCACCACTAACATTGTTGACTGTGCCTGGAGATACTCCTTTAATCCTCACAGCTCAGAAGCTTTCCCTACTTTGCAGGTGGGACTGAGTCTGAGTGATAGGACTTGCCTGAGGCCCAAAGCCAGGATACAGTGGAGTTAAGATTCAAACCAAAGCTTTCTAACTCCACAGCTGGGGCTGATTGAATTCAACAAATATTTATTGAGTGCCTATTATGCGTTAGATATTGTTCCAGGTACTTGGGACACAGCAAAGAACAAAACAAAGGTCCCTGCCCTCATGGAGCTTACAGTCTAGTATTTATGACCACTTTGCCTGCACGCTGATTGTGACCCTGGGCAAATCTCTCCTTAGTTATTCGACGTGGGAAGAAGCAGGCCTGGCTCAGACATGGGTAACATGTCTGGTGCACTGTAGATGCCAAACAGATACCACCTCCAACCCACTATCCAGAAAGTAGAACAGGCTGGAAGTTGACTTTTAATAATAAAATACAGGGGGGGAGGGTAGAGGGAGTGCAGCTGGGTGTCTGGTGTGCTGTTGCACCAGGGTCTGGGCTGGCTACACAAACTGCTGCTGCTGCTGCTGCTGCTTCTTGGTAGCTGCCTTGCTGGCAAGGTCCTTGGCCTTCTCTGTAGCTGCCAGTGCTGTCTCCTTTGCCTTCTCCTTGGCTTCCTTGGCTGTCTCAACAAGGGTTTTGGAAGGGGCCTCACCTGCAGCAAAGGGCAGGAGGCTGGCTTCAGAGGATGCAAAGAAGACGCACCTAATTGCTCCCCACAACATTCACCTCCTGGAAGCCAGGCCCCATTGGAAAGGTGGTATTTGCCCATGGTAGAGATAAGGAGTCCCAGGCTTAGAGAGGTGCAGTGACAGCCCCAGGCTCCACACCAGTCAAGCTAGGACTTGACCCCAGCCTGTGCCTGGGAGGTTCTCACCTTGCAGCTTGGCCAAGATGTATTCAAAACCCTTCATCGTCTTGGTCACATTGCTTTTGAACCTGGCGAGACCAAATTCCTGACAAAAGATGAGAAGAGGAAGGATTCTGAGCTGCCCACTGACCCCCCAGCCCAGTCTCTAAGTCAAATGCCCTGGGCAACAGAGCCTCAGCACCCTGATTACACTGCTCACCTGGACAGCTCTGGAGACACCAAATAAGCTAGAGGAGACCCAAGCTTCCCGGTGGATTTCGGTCCAGCCGCTGTTATCAGAGTTCACACAGTAAACACATCGTTCCTCCACCACCTGTGCAGGAAGTCAGGCCAACTACAATTGTGTGGGAGTCTTTCATTTTGCCAACTTCACATAAATTTGATCTCCTGCCTCTTTTCACGAGGGAGAGCAATAAAATGAAAATCCATTTCTTTTCCCTTACTGCATCCCAAGCTGCATTTACAGAAGAACAAGAATATAAGGTCATTTTGCTCTCTACAGTCTTTCCTCTGACCCTTTCAGCTAGAAGGCATATGGACTCTTGAGATTGACAGGACCTTCCAGCTCCACCCTGGCCCTGAATTTGGTTTTGTACCTTTATGTCTAGACCTTTTTATTTTTTAAAATATGTCTTTATTGATTTCAGAGAGAGGAAGGGAGAAGGAGAGAGATAGATAGAAACATCAATGATGAGAGAGTCACTGATCGGCTGCCTCCTGCAGGCCCCTTATTGGGGATCAAGCCCGAAACCTGGGCATGTGTCCTGACTGGGAATTGAGCCATGATCTCCTGGATCATACATAGGTCGATGCTCAACCACTGAGCCAAGCCGGCCGGGCTGTCTAGATGTTTTTAGCCTGTCTTCCATCTGTTGCAGCTCTTGAGCTCACTGGGAGTCCAAATAAAAATGGAAATCTGGCAATCATCACAGCTCTCATTATCAGAGAGGAAAAAGTGGACCAGTATTTCCAATAGCAACCCTTCAAAGACCTGTCTTCTGGCTCGACTGAAAGACATTTCTCACAGCAGGATCGTTATCTTGGTTATATAGAAAACACAGAGGTAGTGCCCTCAGTATAGTCTGTTGTGAGGCCTTCAGATAACTCTGGGGCAGTGTATTTAGTTGCCAACTCATTCTGTGACCTTGTAGAACACTTCCTCTCTTTGAACCTAACTTTTCTCTTTGCACAAGAGAGAGTAATATCCCACTGCCAGGGTTATTGTGAAGATTAAGTGAGAAAGAGAATAAAAGTTTTCTGAAAGCTTCAGGGTATTCATATGTGAGTAGCTATGAATGTTCTTTAAACCATAGGTTTTCAAGTTTTAAAGACAAGTGATCAAAGGTATATGAAACCCCCTTTCCCTAAACTCTTAGGCATAAATCCATTATGTAAGACACATAAGAGTGTTACTCTTCTAGTCCACATGGGATATGGGGCTCAGATCCTCTCTCTTCTGAGGCACACCCAAGGCACCCTCATGGCTTGATGGTTCCTGTTTGAAAACCACCACCTCCCTGTCTCGGCATCACTGGCTCCCTAGCCACATGTATCTGGAGCTCTACTGGGGAGGCCAAGGGAGTCTCACCATCAGCCGGGCGTGGTTGATGTTCCAGGTGAAGGTGGTCATGGTCTGGTTCTGTGGGTCCACAATAGAGTCCTCCAGGATGTACACCGAGTGAGCAACATTGGCAGGAAATAGTCGCTCGGCCCAGCGGGGCATCCTGTTGGTCTTGGTCAGGAGTCTCCGGGACAGGAGCTTCTGGTCAGGAGTCACTTCCCGGTGCACTATGTCTTCCGTCAAGACATGTTTGCTGCAGGTGTCAGAGTGAAGGTGACCCTCAGGAGCCTGCCCCTGAGAGACTGCCTGTTGGGGCTCCCATCTGGAGCCTCCTGACCCAGAAAGGCCAGCCTTCCCCCAAACTTGCAGTGTTGTGTATTGCGGCTCAGGCCTGAAGTGGAGTCCCTTGAACCTATTCCAGGGCAAATTCCAACTCCCGCCCCTTCGCTGATCTGGATTCCTGCGCCTTCCAGTATGGCCGGCCTTCACGATTCATTGCACCAATGGACAGCGCCACAGGCAGAGGAGTAGGAGCGCCAGGAATTCCACCCCCAGGATCCCTCCCCATACCTGTGCTGCTGCCTCTTCCTGTCTGGCCACCCCGAGATGAGAGAACCTTAGATTAGGGCCTCAAGTAAACCACCGCTCAGGCCTAACCTCCTTCCAGCACCTTGCAGGCCTGGCTACTTCCTTGATAGGGTCCTCTTGTCCTAAATCGGCCACGGTTCCGGCAATCCCCTACCTCGGACTCGATGTCGAGTCCTTCCCGGCCCCACACTTCGATCTCCAAACAGCGAGGGGAGAGGGTTGCTCTTTCCCGGGCTACGTACCTATAGGGATTCGGGTACCGCTGCCAGAAGGCAGCGAACACTTGGTCCCAGGAACTCCGGAGCACGCTCTGGCCCAGGAAATACTTCACCATTGTCCCGGCCGGGGCGGGATCAGCACCCGCGCAGCATCAGGGGTGCAGAGCCCGGGGGGAGGGGCACGCGGAGGCCAGGCCGGGGCTCGGCGCCCGCCCGCCAGGCACGTAGATCAGTCTCCACTCCGCTGCGCCCCACCAGCTGCAGCCGCCATGAGGAGTTGTCGGGCCGCCCGCCACTTCCGGCGCAGACTCTGCACCCACCACTTCCGGCGCCTGTCACGTGACCCGCGGTCCCTCCCTCTCGCCCTCTACCAGCTCCCCCTGCGGGAGTCGCCGAGCTGCGAGCGGAGCGGGGTTGGCGTGGACTCCGAGCTCGGTGAGGGATCCGAGCCGCGCGGCGGCGTGCGGCGCCGTTGAGGGCGCTGCCCCGCGCGCTCCCAGGCTGCCCGGGGCCCTGGGCTCTTGGGAGGAGGATCAGCGCCCGGGGCCGACGAGCGGGGGCAGGCGGGCGCTGCCGTAGCTCGAGCCCG